TACTCTGTGTTGTGCGCATCTGGGCCTTCCCCTCCCGGGAGGAGGGCCCGGTGCAGCGTTTGCCTGGCCGAGTTCCAAGCAAGAGGGACGGTGGACGAGTGGGGAGTCTCTGTGGGGCATGGGGCCGGGCACCCGCAGGGACCTCGCCCTGGGGCACAGAGTCCTCTCCACCCTCCGTGGGCAGCCTGTGCCTCCTGACCAGAGTGAGTGTCCCCTAAGGTTCCCTTCCCTGACCTCAGACCCGTGAGCCTTCCACCTCTGAGCTTGGCTGTCTCTCCGCAGAAACTGGGGTGTCCTAGTTCCTCTCCAAGCCAGGCACGGTGGTGCACACCTGTAATCCCTGCACTCTAGGAGGCTGAGGCGGGATGATCACAAGTTTGAGACCAACCCAGGCAGTTAGGTGATTTAGTGAGAGCCTGTCTTAAAATAAAAAAATAAAAATAAAGGACTGGGGATGTAGCTCAGTGCAAAGGCCCCAGGTTTAGTCCTTAGTATCAAGTAAAAAGAGCAAGCTGGGGGTGCTGGTGTACACCTGTCACCCCAGCATTTGGGAGGCTGAGGCAGGAGGATCTCCAAGAGTTTGAGGGCAGTGCAGGCTACATAATGAGACCCTTTCTCAAGAAAAAAACAATGAAAGGGCAGGGGATACAGCTCAGTGGCACAGCTCCTGCCTGGCAAGTGTGAGTTCAAAAACAACAACAACAATGAAACAAACAACAAAAACAAAAGAGGAAATCTTTTTTTTCTTTTTCTTTTTCTTTTTTTTTGTCTTTTTGACACAGGGTCTCGCTATGCAGTACAGGCTGGCCTTGAGTTCACTTTGTAGCCCAGGCTGATCTCAAACTCACAACGATCCTCCTGCCTCAGCCTCCCGAGTGCTGGGATTACAGGCGTGCGCCACCATGCCCAGCCTAAAGGAAATCTTGACCAATTTTTTTTTTTCTGGTACTGGGAATTGAACTCATGACCTCACACTTGCCAGGCAGGCGCTGTGCCGCTGACTAAATCACCGGCCCCCTAGAGGAAATCTTAAATCAAATATATATATTCTTTTTTTGAAGCAGGGTCTCACTATGTACACCAGGCTATCCTTGAACTCCAAGTGATCCTCCTGCCTCAGCCTCACGGGTGCTGAGATCACAGGTGTGTGCCACCAGGCCCGGCTCTACATTTGTTTTTGTGCGTGGTATACTCTACCTCTGGGCTGCATCCCCAGCCCTCTACAGTTGCTTTGGAAACAACCCGAAATTATCCTGTCTCCTATAGCTCTTCCAGAGTAGGTGTCTGTAAGACATAAGAATGCCTTTGTTTTTCACTGTGGAGCAGTTAGGTTCTTCTGTGCTGTCACCGGCTGCTGATCTTTGTGTCTACCCTAGTGCCATTATCCATCCCGAGCTCTTTTCTTTTTTCTGACACGAGGCCCAGGTCCCAGGGTCTTGCATGTGCCAGGCAAGTGTCCTACCACAGAGCTACATCCTCAGCTCTTTATATTTTTGTTTTTGAAAAATTATTGATATGTTTATTTTTGAGACAGGGTCTCGCTATGCAGTTCAGGCTGGACTTGAGCTCACTTTGTAGTTCAGGCTGGCCTCAAACTTGCAGAGATTCTCTTGCCTCAGCTTCCTGGGTGCTGGGATTGTAGGTGTGCGCCACCATGCCCAACTTAGCCATTTTAAAATTGTTTTAATTTTTAAGATTTTCAAAGAGGGTCTTGACAAATTGCTGAATTATCCAGGCTGGGCTCAAACTTCCATCCTCCTGCTTCAGCTTCCCAGAGCCCTGGGATCACGTGTGTGTGTCAGTGTCCGGGCCACTTAGATTAGACAAGGTCTTAACTACGTTCCCCAGGAACACATAGCTGGCAGGGTATTACCTGCTCTGGCAGGTGGGACGGTGCTCAGGATGGCCTTGAACTGCTGGGCTCAAAGGATCCTCCTGTCTCAGCCTTCCGAGTAGCTGGGACTATAGGTGTGTGCTGCCATGCCAGGCTTTTGGTCTCCATTTCTAATAAATGCTTGCTCGGTTCACGGGCAGATGTCCAGCAGGGCTTCATTCGGTCCTGCTCACTCATACCTACGGCCTTGAGACTGGCTAAGTGTTCTGTGCTGCCTTTACTTTAGGGGGAGCCGGCTGCCCAGACTTCCCCGGACTGAGAAGAGTGGCAATTTCAGTCTCAAAACCACATCAGAGGGGACTCGAGGGACAAAGTGCTGTTGGGGCTAAAGCAGGCTGAGCTGGTGACCGTTCTAGTGACTCACAGTGGCTCTGGGGACTGGAGGGGAGGCCACCCGCCTCATACTCCCTGGCCAGGGCAGCAAATGATCAGGCAGAGCGGGGAGGAGGGACGGGCCTTCCCAATGGGGAGGGCAGAGTAGCTCCCTTGTCTGTGCTGCCGTGATTAGGCCCTCGAGAATCTAATTAAAACGTAGGAAGTGATGGTTGAGCAGCTGTGAACATCAATTTAAAATGTGTCTGCTCAGCCAGGCCCAGTGGTGCACACCCGTCATTCCAGCTACTCAAGGAGGCTGAGGCAGGAAGACTGCACATTTGAGGCCAACCCGGGCAAGCTAGGGACTTAGTGTCTGACTCAAAATAAAAAATAAAAAGGGCTGGGGATGTAGGTCAGGGCCAAGGCCTTGAGTTCAATCCTCAGCAGTGAAAAAAAAAAAAATCCATACTTTCCAAACTTAGGGTCCCTAAGTGTCAGGTCCCTTGCACAATCTCTTCCTGGGTGTGAGCCTCGGGCTCCAGCTCTATCTCTCGTGCTCTAGGGTCTGGGGGCCACATCACGGGCAGTCTGGGGGTGTTAGCCCTCCGCGGCTACTTCCCTCATCAGTGTATTCAGAGGTTCCTGTCCCCGGCTGGAGCACCCCACGTGAACTCCAGCTTCTCAGCACCTGTCTCAGCAGGGGCAGTCCCTGTGTGGCCTGTAGTGTCAGCCGCAGGGGCTTCACCACAGCACCGCCTGCGCCCCGTGGTAGTCCTAGAAGCAGCTGGCGTTGCCGCAGAGCCATGGCCCCACCAGGACAGCCACGCTGCTCTGGGCGGTGACCCTTGTCACCCAGACACAAGTCTGACTCTCTTGCCTGGAGCTCTGGACGCTGGGCCGGTGGGGACCACTTGCATACGGCACCTTGTGACACCGGGAGCTCAGCTCCTCCACGCAGCACCAGCCCCGGTGAAACGAAGCTGTGGTGGGAGACTGGGGCAAGGGGCCCGGGAACTGGGCAGGAGGAGGACACAGACACGGGCCAGGTGCACACTGGGTCCCAGGAGGCAGCTTCCACCCCACTGGGAAGCAGGCAGCTGCTCAGCACTGACCAGAGCCCTGTCACCCTGGTGACAGTGACCGGCTGGGACTCTGGCAGCGGGCTTGGGCCTCCTTGCTACCTTCTCCTGCAAGGGGCCCAATTTCCCAGGCAGAGCGCTGGGTAAGATTTGGGAGGAGGGGGGCCCAGCCGGCTGCAGAGAGCCAGTGCACTTTGCCTTTCTCTTGGGGACAGAAGCCAGGCCTCTAAACGAGGCTGGAGGTGCGCTGCCCTGCACGGCTCCCCGCGCCTCCTCAGCCTTGAAGAGCTGCAGGAACATTCTCAGTCAGTGCTGGGCCCCGCCACCCCGTCCTTGGCATCGCCCTGGTGCTCTGGCTTCGGTCGGCTTTCTGAGGGCAGGTGCAGGTCACCAGCCGTCAGTCCTGGGGGACGGACGCTACAGGGGGACACGAAGCCGGGCTTCTCTCCCCACTGCTGGGGGAAATGGCCCCTCCGGCCGGGGCGCAAAGTGCCCGCCCCTTCTGAGCACCACTCCTTGATGTCTCACCCGCGCAGCAGCTCTGTGCCGCCCAAGAGCCAGCGTGGGAATGCAGCGCAGGGCAGGGCTCAGAGACCCAGGGCCGAGGCCAGATGCGTTCTGAATCCAGCTCTGCAGCCGCCGGTGGGGATAAGCCATTGGCAGAGGAGCCGTTCTTGGCTTCGGTTTCGTTTACAAAGTGAGGCTGAGGGTAGAGCTCGCTGGAGGAGCATTTGCCCAGAAGGCCTAAGGACCTGGCCCTGGCTCCTGGTCCACTGAGAAAAAAATCCTTTTCTTGAGACAGGGTCTCACAATGGAGCCCAGGCTGGCCTTGAACTTGCAGTGATCCTCCTGCCTCAGCCTCCCGAGTACTGGGGTTGCAGGGGTGTGCTCCACGCCTGGGGTTCACTTCTATGGCATCTTTACCCTTGGAATACAAGGACTCTCCTGTGGCTCTGCTAGTCTGGAGAAACTTTCAGAGCTTTTGTGACACACAGCCCGCTGTGGCGCTGGGCCAAGGGCTCCCCACCACTGGTCTAGAACCCTCTGCGCTCTGGGCCTTGTCAGTTCGCTACTTTCCTGCCGTCTCCTAGAAGGGGAAGGTACGGACACCACTGAGGAGGCTCCCGGGGGCTGGGCTGTGGAGCCGCTGCCGGCCCTGGCTGTCTGGCTTTGGCCTTGGGCTTCTCATTCAATTCTGAGATTCTGGCTTCCGGGACCAGGCTCTCTGGTCAGGGTCCCAGTCCTGCCCCAAGGCCAGGAACCCAAAAGGCCCTGGTGCTGAGCTGAGGGTGGGGTGGCGGCCGAGGCTGCGGGTGTAGCCATCGGCAGGATACGCTGACGTGGTGCACACGGCTGGGGTGTCACCTGCTCTGTAGGCCCAACTGCGACCACAAAGGGCCAGAGAGGTCGCGGCTGTGGGGCTTCTCACCAGGAAAAGGGCCGCAGGTAGCCAGACCCGGTGGAAGGAAGAGCTGGGAGGCCGTCAGCTCAGAGCCGCGGGTGCTAGACGTGGGGAGGACCCGGATGTCAGGGGCAGAGGCAGATGGCAGCCTCCAAGCTCCAAGCCTCAAAGGAGACTGATGACTTGATTTCTATCCAGTGCTTTATTGAGGGTATCTCAGAGGGAGACCAGAAACGTAAGAGTGCACTGCACATGTGACATCCGTGTGTGTGTGTGCGCCGTGTGAGACATCCACGTGTGCGCGTGACTTCTGTGAGGTCCCTGACCTGTGCTGAGGGCTCGGCCAGGCAGGGCCTGTGCCCACGGGTAAGGCAGACAGGCGGGTGGCGTCTGGCTCACTGCTCCTGGGTGCCCCAGGAGATGTAGTCGGGCCGCGTGGCCGCGTGGTACTCGTCGATCAGCTGCTGCACGATCTCGCGGGATGTGTCCATCTCGTCGAAGTTGTCCTTGAAGATGTCCTCCTTGCGGAACTGCTCCATGAAGGCCTCCCGCTTCCGCAGCTTGTCGAACTGGCGGCAGGTGCGCTCGAAGAGCTGGGGTGTGCGGACCTCGAGAGTCAGGGCGAGGCTGAGGGACGGCTCGGCCCGGGGAGCCAGGGAACCGCACCGCAGGACGCCAGGGCGGGGCAGCGGGAGGGCGGGAGTGCGGCCAGGGACCGACGGGCGGGAGGCGCAAGGCAGGCTCACCGAGGAGATGCTGGTGTGGTTGGCCATCATGAGCCCGCTGACCCGGTGGGCGGACGGCAGGTACGGGGACTTCCTGGACAGCGCCACCTGGATGCTGGCCGGGCCCCAGGGGATGAAGTTGGCCAGCTTGCGCTCCCGGATCCTCTGCAGGCTCTTGTGCACCTGGCCGGGCACAGGCACGGGGTCGCCGCTGCCCGCCTGTCCTCAGCCGGGGCCGGGGAGGGGCCGAGGCCCGCGCCTACCTGTGTGGGGTCCACCTCGCCCTGGATGATGTTGAGGATGGCGATGTAGCAGTGGCTGGTCTGGCGGTCCCGGCCCGTGGACACCATCACGTTCTTGGGCTGCAGCAGCCGCCGCATGACGTCCAGCACCGTGGTCTTCCTCACGCTGGCCACCTGAGGGCGGGGTGGGGGCGCGGGCCGGGGACGCGTGGGAGGGGGGAGGAGCGGCCGTGAGACCCGGCGCGGGGCGGCTCTCCGGGCAGCTCCCTCGGTGCCATCTGCCCGGGGTCTCTGCTGCTGCGGGATCCGAACCCTCGGCCGCCCACCCACCCGAGGCTCAGCGGGCCCTGCCCGCCCCGGCGCGGGAGCGGGAGCAGGAGCGGGGCCAGGGCCGAGGCGCTCACCGACTGGTCCGTGGTGAGGGGCGTGTAGCCGGTCATGAGGAAGTGCAGCCGCGGCGTGGGGATGAGGGAGGCGATGAGGCCGATGAGGTCGTTGTTCATGTAGCCGGGGTAGCGCAGGGTGGTGGTGCTGGCCGACATGATGGTGGACACCTGGGGTGGGGCGGTGTCACGGCCTGGCCTGGGGCGGACCCACCTCCCTGGTGGCCCCGGCGTGGAGGGCGCCCCATCCGGGGGCCGAGGACTGGCTCACCAGCTGGTTGATCTGGGAGAAGGACGGGTTCTGGATGTGCAGGCGGTCTGTGGCGATCTGGTTGAGGGCTGTGTTGTCCAGCACGACCTGGGGACAGAGGGGGCCACAGCCCTTCTTGAAGGAGAAAGGAGACCCGAACAGAAGCGGGGCCCTCGCCTCCACCAGCTCCCGCACCCGGAAGTGGGCCTGTTCGCTGGAAAAGGAAAGTAGGCCTCACAGCAGCAGAGCTCCTCGTGGACCATGGGGACAGTAAGCAAAGCACGTGTGCGACTGCCCCAGTGTGCCTCGGAGTGCCTGCCTTGCGCTTTACTCAACCTCCAGCCTACTGCAGACAATCATTAAATACAGACCAGGCTCAGACATGGTGCATGTGCTTAGCAAGCGTGAGGCCCTGGCTTCCAGCCCCCACCCCAGAACCAATCACTCAGGAAAGTATATTTAGCCAGGTTTAATGGTGAACATTTGTTTTTCCTGCACTCAGGAGGCTGAGGCAGGAGGATCACCTGGAGTACAAGGCTAACCCTGATTACTTAGTTCAAGGCCAGCCTGAACTACATGAGCAAGAACCTGTCTCAGAAAGTATATTTAATGACCTGAAATATGTACAAAGTCTCTGATGTTAACTGGGGAGTCTCTGCTAAGACAAGGAACCCAACCTGAGAGTTCAAACATGAGGGGGCAAAGAAAGACTACAAGGTAGGCTTGGGCACGTCCACTCCGTTGGGAGCCCTGCTGCCTCCAAGGACGGGGAGCCAGGAGGAGGTCAAAACCTTACTTCTCGGTCCAGCCCACCCAGCACGGCTTGGTCAGGCCTGTTCTCTGTGTGGCCTGGGCTTGGCACAGGAGGGACGGGGCCAGGGGACCAGCGGGCACTCAC